TGCTTCGGAGAGGCGCGCAGGTGAGTGAGTGGAGCGACTTCTTTATTGACTTCTCGTCGGCATCGCCCAGGCAAGAAAGTGCCATCGCTCCTCTTATTAAAATGAGCACGTGCGCGCAGTTGATGCAAATAAAATAAGGTCCTTTACGAGAGAGAGGACACGCTGCGGGTAATTGGATTTTCGTTCCTATAAAGGCATCGCTACATAGGCATTTATTTTCTCAGCAGCAGGTACAGTCAATTCGAGAAAATGATTCGGATTCTTGGGAGGCAAATGTGTTGGAAATTAGTTTAGGAAGGAAAGTTTCTTTGTCAGCCAAAATTAATTGTAACAATTCAAGTAATTTATCTCAAAATGTTAATAAGAAAATTCAAAAAATAAAAAAATTTTATAAAATATTTCATTTTAAATTAAATTCATTATATTACCTCCTTAATTAAAAGTTCAAAAGTATTTCACATTTTTCATAACGCATATTTGCATAATTATTGAACATAAAAATCAATTGTTTGAAGGGAAACATTGAATTATTGGGCAATAGGGCAAGAATGAAAGCAAAGAATTTGGTAAATATGCATAATTAGTTATAGTGACAAGCAAATAATTTTTTAAAGTAAATTGAGATATTTCCTATCTTTCTGCATAACTTGAGCCTCGTTGATTTTCTGTTGTATGCCAAGAGATTTCACAAATAAAAACTTAAATTTAAACCTTTAAATTCAAAAATCGAAACAAAATTAATTCCACTTAAGGAGAGAGATGAGAACTACTGAATTCAAGATGTCTTGCGTTTCATTTCGTACAACATTTGAATTGCGAGCGAATAAAATGTATTAAGTGAATTCTCTCTCTGAAGCTCTCGAGTGGTTTTTGAGAGCTGCTCACTCTTTCTCGTCGCAATTCAACCCTTGGCTCTAATTCCCTTATCCCTCCTGCTACGCCGATAAAATTGAAAATAAATCCGCTCGCGAAATTCACGCGGCTTTTAATTCCTTTGCCAAACTTTTCCACTCTCCTCCGGCGTCACTTCTTCATTAATCCAGAATGAGAGAAATGCAAAACCGGGCGTCAGAAGAGATGATGATGATATCAAATCGTTCCCCTGCCGCTCCCGAAGCGGCGAGAAAATGCAAAATATAACTTTCCATTTCTGGGTCGGCTAACGAAAATTTATCGTTTTTAATCTTAATGCATTTTGCATGCGCGTCGTTCACATATTTCTCCGCTTCCAAAGAGGGCGGTGCGTGGTGGAAAATTGTGTTGTATTTATTTTGCATGCGTTATCAGAGGAAGGGGGCAACAAGCTGCTCGAGTTTTTTTTTTGCCGAGGTGATAAAACCGAATTGTGATGTTGCCACAACGCTCGCGTGTGTTCAAATGCTCATGGTAAAAAGCAGCTTGGTGAAAACTAAAAACACAAAACACATCGTGCGAGAATTGATCTCCTCGCGGCTAAGCTCCGCGCTGGCAACTGGGAGCAATAATAAATATTTATTCTTCATTTCCTTCTTTTATCTTGGCCGTGCCGAGTTTATAAAAGAGGAAGGCGCTGCTCGCTAGTCGTAATAATAAAAATTCACGCCTTCGCATGCTCGAAATTTAAGAGCCGAGTGAAATAAATTCACCCCTCAAGAAGAAAAAGACGCACCCTTTAAAGAATTAAAAATAAGAAATATATACAAGAGGCTGCTGGAATCAGATTCGAGACCGAATAAATTAAATTCAACTCGACTGAATTTATATCCAACGCCACCCCTGGAAATTGCCTCTTGAAAATTTCCACTATGCTGCGTTTGCTTTTGTTTTGACTCAAATTCCAAAAGGTTTACTTAACAAAATTCCAAAAGCTTGCAATAGCAGATTTGATTGATAATTAACAGCCAAAATTTTGAGCATTTTAAAATTAAATATCTGAGAAATTAATCAAATTATTCTAGCGTTTATCGAGCGCCTTTTTGTTTCTCTTTCATCTTGTTTGCGACCTGCTTGAAGTTGGCGCCTGTATAAATAATTTAAGTTAATAATAAAAGGGCCGGCGGCGGAACGCGATAATTAATTTGTTTTGCAGCCAATATCGTGCAGCATACCTCACGGCGGCACCAGGTAATAAGTAATTACTAATTTCTGAATTTATGCGCGCCGTGGTTGTTACAAATATAATGTACACTTGGCGTTCATACACCGTGTTATGGAGGCGAGGCTGCCGGGCGACTTCCAATTAATTGCAACCTCTCTTACTTAATCAACGTGTAGGCGCTCGCGCGCGCAACTTTGAACCTCTCTCAAACATTCGCTTTAATTACTTGATATCAATCAGCCGCAGCTTGTTGGCTAAAAGCGGCAGAAACTGCGCCGCGCCTCACCGTCCAAGCAGCGTTTGATCCGAAGAGGAACCGCAAGATCTTGCTTGATCTATAAAGCGTGGCTTTAATTAATTTATTCATATTAGAAATTATCAAGTTCAATTATATGCACATTTTTAGGTAATTCTTGGCTCTTTAAATCAATTCCCAGAGTCATAATTGAACTTAGATTCTTATTGACTCTCATCAAATCCCCAGTAAAAAGGATATTACGTTAATTTAAATTTTTTTGCATGCCGTCAAGCACAGTCAGGTTGATTCAATAAAGCAGCAGTTACTATGTGATAGCTTGCGGAGATTTTTTGCATTCAGGAAACAGGCTTTTCTTCAAATTCAGTGTGTTGAGGCAAAGGTCACGTTTCAACCCTGAGAAAAAATAATCGGGGTAGCAGTTGTTTTTCCATAACAAAAGAAAGTAGTGAAAGAAAAATAAAACAAATCTTAAATTTTAGCTCTGAAAGGTTTTTCACATCAATTATTGTACGTACGCATATAAACAAAATTAAAATCATAAAGAGAGTCCCTTTTTTACGAATCTCACATGTATATTTTGTACCACAATATTGGTCAACAAAAAACAATCTGTTTGAAAACGTATTATTTCACATTTCATGGCCGAAAAAATGACGAAATTCTAAATCATTGTTGTTTTTTGAGAGCATAATTTATAAAAAAGTTCATGTTTTCCCAATTTTGATATTCAATTGGCACACCAATATATAGAACTATCTACTGCGATAAACGCCTTTTGCCATATAACAATTTTCCATTTTTATTTCGCGAAAAATCATTTCGTTGAACAGGTTGCGAATCCAATTATTTTGCTCTGCTCCGTTGTGATGACAACACAAACGGCCTTGCTGTGTGTGCTCGCGGCCGCAATTTTTCTCCCAAGCAGCCCTTCTGTCCACTGTCGATAAGTATAAAATCACTTTATTTCCTGTGCTTTTATTCCTTTCTCTCGCAGCAACTCTTCTCCAAGCAGCAACAGACAAACTGACCGTTTTCCCAACCCATTCAATAACAACCTCCCTTTCTTTGCCATTTTCCGCGAACAGAGATAGAGCCGGACGGAATTATTTTCTCTTTCTTGCCAAATCTATAAAGCGGACTCTGGGGGCTGCAATGATTCCACCCGAGCAGCTCATTTCCTAATGCAGTCGCCCGCCGAATACATAAAACATTTACTGGCCTGAAAAAGGTACAGAATATATACAAGGAAAAGCACTCGAAAAAAATGAGAGGCAATGAAGTTAAGAGAAATCTCCCGAGACACATTAATTAGATTTCCGCAGATCGTTTTTAAAAGACTCGCTCTCGCCAAATCGAATGGAAGAATTATTTCTAGAGATGTGCACCCCTGTGGATGAGAAAGAGAAGAAATTAAACCCACAGGGGGAAGCAGCTCATTTCTTCAAGTTCAAAGCCCTGACTGGAATATGACGTGCAGTGTCTGCCAACTGTGAAATGAACTTGTGCCTCTTTTATGTTGGTCCAGCTCAGAATCCGACAACCATCTTTTATATGCTTATATAGACGGGGGCGGCGGAAATAAAATGAAATGGCCATTGAGCCTTCTTTCGTATGATGGAAAAGCTGCTCAAGAGCGTGTTTGTTTTTATGATGTATTACATCTCAGACTGGCGGGTTCATTCACCAGTCTGCGCGGATCAAAGGGATGGAGTGTTTAATTCCAGCCGTGATAGCGCACGCCCGGATCAGATTTTTTCTTTTTTACTTTTTCGTTTTGCGCTTGTGTCCGTTTTCCGTGCAGCACGGGCGTCAATCTCAATTAGGCGACGTCCCGACAGACAACAATCGAATTTCCAACACTGAAACGAGGGTGTATAAAGCCCGGCAGCCCTGTTTGCACATGCTGGTGCACGGCGGGGTGCAAACATACATGCCGTGTTTGCATGCACAAAGTTTGCCGCTCGGCACCCGCGGCCCGTCCGTCATTGCAGATTGATGCAGAGAATTTTGCTAATTAATCACTGACCTAAATTGAGCGAGTTTATCTCACGTTTGTTTTTGATGGGAAAATATAATGAAATCGCGAGTCAAACTTTAATGCAGATTGAAACTTGGTAATTAGGAAATTAATCATGTAGCAGATATAATAACGAGGCGGATAAATTTGCAAAGGATGTAATATTCATGTTTGAGCTTTGATCAGTAATTAGGCACCGAATTAATTCGTTATTCGTTCACAGCATAATTTTTTTTACTGCTTTTAACCAGAAAAAAATAAGTTTAGAGATAAAATTTGCTTCTCTTTTAATATTCAAAGTTTTGATAAAATGAATATAAATTTTATTGATTTGGAAACAATTGCTTCCTTTGCTTTTTTTAAAAGATGAAGTTGAACAAGATTTCAATGAAATAGTTTTCGAAATCATTTCCAAATTGTACAGTTTGTCCTTGATTCATAACTTGAAAAATCACCCTGTATAGAAGATAAATAATAATTTTACTTTTGCAATCTATATATCATGTTTGTTGAGAATTTAAAAACATTTTAATTAATATGCAAATGGACCTCTATATCTGATCTCTGTGGTTCTCTGAATATTTTTTTGATCTTTTTTTATCCATGAGTTGTAATTATTTTTTTCAATTAAAAGGTGTAAATCTGACCTGACTCGTGAAGCAATAAAAGTGCGCCATTTAGTTGAAAGAAAGTGAAATACGACACCGCTTGCGGCAACGCACTTCCAGCGTGACCAGGATGTTTGCCGACAAACAACACTCACCTGAAACAGAAAAAAGAGAGAAATAATTAGTCAACAGTTTTTATCTACGCCTTCGAGGAAAAAAGTTTCAAGCAATTACAGTGACTAACCCACTTTGAAAGAGATTGCGCATGACTTTACGACCGAGATAAAAATAAATACCAAAGAATAATTATTTCGCATATACAGGATTAAAGTTGGTTCGTTTAATCAAGTCGAAACGACGCGTCGGATGAGCAGTAAAACGCGAAACAACGCGTAGATTATTCATAAATCGGCGGCGCGGGCAGCAGTTTAATAACGCGGCAATCGCGGTAGTAAAACTTGTATAGCAACAGAAACGGCCAACTATATAACTCCCCCAATAAAACAGCATCACGCACCCAGATTGAGCCATTCGCTTGCAGATTTCCTGCCCCGAGAGGAACAACAATTCGTCCCTCTCTCCCTTGCCGAAATTAGTTTTGGAAAATGCGTTACTTCGCCAGGAAACACAAGATTAATCTGGAGCCACCCTAGATGTAAACAGGCCTTGATCGAAAATATAATCAAAAATATAAAATGCAAATTCAGATTAAAGGTTCTGGACTTTCATAAAAAAATCACAATTGGAAAATAGTTAATTATAAAATATATTTTCCGTCAAAATTGGTAGGGCTAATGAGATTTTCTGATTTTAAGCAACATTTGGAATGATTTTACTGCCTGCCAATTAAAGAAACTTGCAAAGTAATTAACTCCAACAAAAGTAATTTGAATCTTCAAACAAAAATCCACCATTATTTGATATAATTATTTTATTTGCATTTTGGAAGATGGCAGACCCTCTAATTTGAAATACATTCCCACCCCCATCCGCAAAATTCTTCATTATTAAATTAAAAATTCAATTTTCCGTCCTGTTTCTCGCCTTCTTCTTTTATTTTTAACCCCAGCACGTTCTGCACTTTGGCGCTGCAAGTGGCAGCGAATTCCAGGTGGATTCGGCAGAGCCTCTCTTCACTCTTCTCTGTGAATTCTTTGGGGTCGCCGGTTTGAAGAGGGTCCTGCTCGCAAGTTGGTCTCGCTCTCGCAACTTCTCCTCCTCGTGTCGGTGCATACGCTTATCTGGCTCAACTTCCATCTCGTTTTGCATAGAGGCAGCCGAGCAGGCAGCCCCTTTAGCAGCGAGGGCGTTAATTGAATCGCAAGGACCAGAAAATTGACACCGTCCCCCTCCCTTCTGTTCTCGTCGGGTGCTTTTTCGACGAGAGTTGTGTGCGAATTCGCATCAGCTGCGCTTCGGGCATGCCTAAATTAGCCAAACGCCTCCTGCTGTGTGCATTAATTTTTGATGCTCTTTAAAAGGAGCGCTTTATCATCTGGCACGGTAGTGAATGAGAAAGGGTTGGAATTAAAAGCTGCCGTGAAAACATAATTGAGAGTGTATCAACTTTGAACAAAGAAAAGGGTGGAAAAGCTCTTAAGTCGGACACAGAAACTAATTTAAATCGACAAATTTTTCGGCAGTTAAAAGAAAATATCTACTCAATTTAACAATTAATAATAGCAAAACGAAGTTGAAAAACGTGTGGATTGGAAGGAATAATCTAGTGAAATTAATTTTAAAACATATTTCATTAATCAGCTTTTAATTTATAAATTTAATATGATATTTTGGACCAAAATGAGAGTGGCATAATGAACTCATTGCATGAGGCTATGCATAATTACATAGAAATCAATAAATATTATTTTTAATTTTACAAATAAAATAAAAATTTTATAAATAAAAACAAAAAATTCATATTTTAATATGTTTTAGGAAAACAAAAAAGAAATTCATTTTTTTATATTATTGTAAAAACGTTGTTAAAAACCCTTGATTGCGTGTAATTTTTATGTACCAAACGCATTTGCAGGATTTATCGATATTATTATTATTAAAAAAAAAATAAATAAATAAATAAATAAATAAATAAAAAAAATGTTGAAATAAAAATAATGAGTATGACATAGATTTCTCCAATTCCACGTTTCCAGGCATGGCTTTAAATTTCTAATAAGACGTTGAAGTTCAAATTGAATTATTGTTTCTTTGATTTCATGATCGAGCATATCATGCAAAATCTCATCTTGTTGAAGTGACCTAAATAATTTGTAAAAAAAAATATCAATTTCATTACATTAGCAAAAACGGCGGATGTATAAAATCTGGGAAATTCAAATACTCCTCTGGTTATTGAAATATGAACCATGAATCTTTGCTTTTTTAAATTTTTGCTGACTAAAAAATCAAATTACCAAGAAAAGAATGAAGTAGGTTTAAAAATTGAAAATATTGCGAATGATTTCTGAGAAATTTTTGTAATGAAGTGTTCTTGTAAAAACTCGCACTCAAAATTCTGCACTGCCAAAGTCAGTCTGGGCCACGGAGCGACACAATGAAAGCAGTGCTCGGAGCTGCGTAATTTTCGCACTCGCGCAAGCCCTGCGCGAAATTTCTAATTACGTTTCAACAACGCGCGACACTTTTGTCTCGCGCTCACAAAAGAAACTTTTCGGGGCCCTTTGGCGATCGCTGCACTCGCTTTGTTTCTCTTGTCGGCGCGATCGATCTCTGCAGTTTTTTTCAAAGCCCCGCGTGCACGTTTATGGGCAGAAAAATAAATAAATAATCCGAGATCTATTTGGAGAAAACAATAAAACTGGCGATTCGTTGGAGAATGTTCTATGGGAGCATCACGCAATTTCCATACACTGAGGATCGTCGATACATTTCGTTGCACGTCAGCGATAACAATCAGCACATTATGCAAAAAAGCAAGCGAAGGAGCGGCGAAAAAAGAAAGAAAGAAGGAGTCTGGCCAGTTTTTTCTTCTTCGAATGGAACCTTTTATATATAAAGGGTCGGAGGAAATTTCGGCGGTGGTATCTCCATTTACAGAATTCGCGGCAGTGCTTATTTTATACAAGGCGGCGGTACGTGATGTTTCTCGTGCTGTTCACAAGAGAGTGAATGAGCAAGGGCCGCCGCCGCCGTTTCTTTTTGCAATCTTAACACTCATGAACTAGACGACATAAGATACGACCGGGCGACGCCAGCGCCCTGCTTTTCTTTCACACGAGAAGATGCTGCAGAGTTCATAAAGAGGCTCTGTCGTCTTTGGTTTATAAGTGGAAAAGAGTAACAGAGTGTTTCTCTCTCGGCTGCGAAAAACGATAAAGATCGCGCAGGGGAGAAAGTTAATTTTTAATGTCGAGACTGACAGCTTCATTTTTGCCCCATTTGAATGCAGGAAAAGGTGCGAGATGAATATAAAACAGGGTTTCAGCACTTTAGGACGTTTGTTTAAGGGGAAAATCTTATCTTGTGCGAGTTTGCATAAAATACACGGTTTTGAGAAGAAACATTACCAAATTTTCAATTTTGTGCTAAAAATGTTTTTGCTTTTTAATTTTTCTTGTTCATGAATCATTTAAGTTGCAGAGACGGTGACCAAAACTGATAGTCTAGTTTTTCCTTTGATAAAAGACAAATTTTTCAACCAGCTTTCTTTACACCAAAAAGCAAATTATTTTTGAACAACTAATTTAAAGATACAGTAAAAAATAAATATTATTTTTACATTATTTTTGAGATGAAGGTCACCCAAAAAATTGTTTAATTCTTTCAAAACTTTTTTAAAACAATCAAATTTTGTACTTTATGTTTTTATTTTGCAAATATAATTTATTATTTAAGATTTTTCGCTGCCTCACGCTTCAACTTGGTTTATTATTAATTTAGTAAAAGTACAATATTCTAATATTCTAATCACTAAGCAAGTTTTTACAATTCTTTGTTTAAAATACGAATTTAATAATAAGAACAATTAATTGTAAATTTATAGTAATAAAATTTAAATAGAATCTTAAGATTATCAGAATATAGACATTTTATTCATATTTGTTTATTTAGTTATTTTTTGTAACGTTAAATTTAATTTAAAATTTGTTTACAACTTATGCACCAGATTAATTTTATTAAATATTTTGTTTGGTTAATTTATTATTAAGTCTAGGCTGACCATCTTTGATTGAAACTATAAGTAATGAAATTAATATCTGTTTGATCCAAGTTGCTCGATTTCTAAAAATGTTCATTTCAAAGGCAAATCAGATATTTATTTTCCATTGTGAATATTCAATCAAACGGAAACCCTCTGCTCAATTAGATGCATATATGATTGACCCGCCTTTTGTCAGTTCCCAGAAAACAATGCACGCTAAGTTCATTTGATTCAAATGATACCGCTCAACACAAAAGGCGCGGCCTCGCTTGCAATCAGCTCAACACGGCGCTGCATCAGTAGTCATTGTTGCAAAGTGAGAGAGAGAGACGTGAGATGCGGTCATCTCTGCAGAATAATCACCGTCATTGTATCGCGGATGGACGACCGAGCGGCGCCACCGCTGCTTTTCTCCTCCTCGTTAGATAACCCGTCGGACTTTAAGACATTGCTTATTCATAGAGGTCCGTCACTCGTGCGACGAGTGAAAGACTGACGGACGTATAAGGACGAGAGAGAGAGAAGCCGTCGTGACTCGGTCCGTATCTCTCACTCGAGCGCCTCTCTCTCTTTCTCTCTCTCGCACATGAATTCATCTCTCGCAATTCACCGCGCTACAGCTCGCAAGGGCAATCAAGGTCGACGCTGTAAAAAGCAACTTTGTCGTCTTATACGTTTGAGCGAACAGTTAGAGTTTACTTTGGCCAGAGGAAGTAAGGAGTTGTTTTTATTTGTCCCGAGAAGTGGATTTTCCACTTGTTGGACTTGCTAACACTTTTAATCTGAGCAAATATGGCCGAGAAAATTACTTGCAAAATGAAATTATATAATCATTGCCTTTGAGTGAAATAAATTGGGCTTTAATGAACTTGTAGGCATTTAAATCATTGTCTTTTAATCAAAAAGTCTTAATACATAAAGCAATTTAAAAGGAATAAAGAACGTTTTTATTGAATTTTTAAAGAGGATTCTCTAAAAATGTAAATTTTA